GCGTGCGAGCCGCCATCCGCACCCTGCGCGTGGCCTCGGCGCCCGCCGCGCCCTGCCCTCCGCGGCCCTGGCGGCTGACGGTGGGCGTTCTCCGGACGCTGCACACGGGACCCGCTCTGCTCTCGGGTAAGCGCGGCGGGCACGTGGGGTGAGCCGGCACCTCCCTCCCCGCCTCGGCTGGTTCTTCCCGGGCTGGGTTGGACTTGGACTAGGGCGGGTTCCCACTTTTGAGCCACCTGGCGTAGAGCGAATGCAAGCCCTGTCCCAGCTTACGTTTATTGTTGGGATCCCTAGTTATGTGGCCGCTTCTTCCTCTTAAGTAGGCGTGAGAATACACAAGCAGTCTTTGTACCGGGGGCCTGGACTGAGCCAGGAGCGGGAGGCCTGCAGGACTCCGAAGCAGTGGTGTGACCAGGCTGGTCCCCGAAGGCGAGTCGGCCGCTCATGCTGGAGAAGCCTGGCAAGCATCGCTAAGCTTAGTGACCTTAGTTTATTTCGCATTTGTGTGCGTCTTGAGACCCTAAATGTGGAGGTCTTTAGTTTACTAAATGGACCATTACTGAGAATTCCGAAGTAAAATTACAGCAGAGGTACTTGTTAAGGTTAAAGCACTGGATGTGGATTTTTACTAGCTAAAACAAGCATAACGTGTTGAAGATTCAGTTATTTCCCCAAAACAGGTTAAGATAAAGTCTTCTGGAATCTTTACAGAAGTATTGTTGTATTGAGTCATTTTGTTTTGGGGCAGAAATGAGGCCTAACTTAAACTGACTTGAAATAACTGGGAGACATGCCCGTGAATGTTTTGGCCATTTGTGCTACTTTAGCACGATTAGCACAGCGGTAAACAATTTTCTGTCTTTATGCGCAAATATTTGAGACACTAACTGCTCGTCAGATCTCAGACTCCTTACTTAGGGTGCATAGATCTGTGATGGCTGTTGTCTTATTAAATTAGTTGTTTTAAAAACCTGTTTGGAACTGGAATTATTGATAAATTTATTTATTCTAAACTTTGAGGCATAAAGATGTGCTTCTCCCGACTTGCTAATATTCCCTCCGCTCTGTGTGTGACACTTAAATTAATACATTACCAATGTAAATACGAGGGTAAAGCGTTTCTTGTATAAGAATTTCAAGTCTATGTTTTTGTTTTTGTTATTCAGTGTTGCACTGTCTAGCTGTTCGCATTCTCTGCTTATCTGGTTAAATATTGCCCAAAGTCAATACCCATGGTCTGGTTAAGCACCTAGGTTTTGTTTTGTTGTTTGGGCAAATAGGTTTTTAATAGCAGTTTCAATTTTGGTTCTACCTCTTATGAACTATGTCATCTCAGGCAGTCACTTAACTTCTCCAAATCTGTTTCCTTTATCAGAAAAGTGGGAAGTAATACCTACCTCACAGGGTTGTTGGAAGGATAAAATGAAATAATGTTAACTGCTGTACATACAGCCTGTCACATAATAAGCCCTTGATGAATGTTATTAAATATTTTAGTGTATAGCATCAAATAAGTAGTAAAAAAAAAAACTGGTGAGTATTAATATAAAATATATTGTATCTGACTAATAACGTTGAAAGGAGGAAAATGCAAAATTTTCATGAATTAGTCACAACTCCTAATTTTGAGGCCAAAAACCATGTTGTTTCAAGGCTGAGTAAGAAAGTAACTGTTTGCCTAATCTGTCCATTTTTTCCTTTTAGGCCAAGGGTTAAAGGAGAACTGTACTAATCATTGTATTTAGCCTAAACAGCATGCCTAGTAAAAGAAAAAAAAAAAAAAAAAGACTCTACAGACTGAATTCAAGTAGACCTGTGTGCACTGAGCTTAGTAATGTTGCCCCTTCTCTAAACTTGTGGTTGTTCAGTTGCTAAATTAAGTGTCACAGCAACCTTACTCCTAAGAATATCTTTACAATTAGTTAGGATGGCAAGGCCAAAGTCAAGCCAGTAGTCTCAGAGAGGTCATATATGTATAGTTGCCCAGCCCCTGCTTTCAAAAGGTATGTTAGTTTTAAATTGCTCATAATTGGTAATGTAATTAGCAAGTTCTAGAGTTGTAACAGAATGAGAGGGAGAATTGAGTGTTGTAGCCAAATAATTATATACCATCAATTTTGCTCAGAATCCCCTTTACTTAATAAACTTTATTATTATTTGGCAGCTGGCCCCTACAGGGATCTACATTACTTAATAAGCTTTTTTTTTTCCTTTTTTGACCGGTAAGGGGATCGCAACCCTCAGCATGGTGTGGTCTGCACCACGCTCAGCCAGTGAGCGCACCGGCCATCCCTACATAGGGTCCGAACCTGCGGCCTCGGCGCTACCAGCGCCGCACTCTCCCGAGTGAGCCATGGGGCCGGCCCTACTTAATAAGCCTTAACAAATTATTTCACTCCTTCAACTGTTGAGTACTTAACGGTGTGCCAAGCACTGTGTTAAGAACTGGGGATACAAAGGACAATGAGATAACCCCTGCTGTTGCTTGCTCTGTACCCACAGTCTACTTCCAGGGCAAACTGACAAACAGGCTAGAGCTATGTATGTATGTTAAGTGCTGTGTGTTGGGGTTTGGGTTGGGGGAGGGGGATGCAGGCTGGGAGAGTGCGTTGGATGGCCCAGGAACCCAGACTTGAAGAGTCAGACAAGGCTTGAGGCAGGAAAAGGCTTCTAAATTGAGTCCTGAAGTAGTTAGAAAAGGTGGTAGGGAGTGTTATAGTCAGAATCCTACCGACAAATCTTAACCTTTCTTAATCCTACCGACGAATCTTAACCTTTCTTACCTAACATCAGATTAACCCGAAGCATTCAGTTATTTGGAATGGAGCAAAGCAAGTTCCTTTGTGACAAATTTTGCAACTTCTTCCATTGAAGGGTATGAAATTTAGAAAGTTTCATATTAGGGGAAAAAGAAAGCAATGATAAGTTATACACTTACCTTCTGCTGCGTATCAGTGCTGTAATAAAAGCCACTCAGTGCTCTTTGGCACTGTGTTAAGAACTGGGGATACAAAGGACAATGAGATAACCCCTGCTGTTGCTTGCTCTATACCCACAGTCTACTTCCAGGGCAAACTGACAAACAGGCTAGAGCTATGTATGTATGTATGTTAAGTGCTGTGTGTTGGGGTTTGGGTTGGGGGAGGGGGATGCAGGCTGGGAGAGTGCGTTGGATGGCCCAGGAACCCAAACTTGAAGAGTCAGACAAGGCTTGAGGCAGGAAAAGGCTTCTAAATTGAGTCCTGAAGTAGTTAGAAAAGGTGGTAGGGAGTGTTATAGTCAGAATCCTACCGACGAATCTTAACCTTTCTTACCTAACATCAGATTAACCCGAAGCATTCAGTTATTTGGAATGGAGCAAAGCAAGTTCCTTTGTGACAAATTTTGCAACTTCTTCCATTGAAGGGTATGAAATTTAGAAAGTTTCATATTAGGGGAAAAAGAAAGCAATGATAAGTTATATACTTACCTTCTGCTGCGTATCAGTGCTGTAATAAAAGCCACTCAGTGCTCTTTTAAGTACAACTATCTTTTAGGTAAGGCCCAAGAATGAATCGGGAAAGCTTACTTTAAAACAGTATTTGAATTAATGGACTGTTTTCCTATTAAATTCTGGAAAAATACTTGGCTTCAGAATGTGATATATATTTAAGAATATATAATATGCTTTTTTAAAAAAGATTATTCTTTGAAGTAAATACTTTTAATTTTAAATCCTAAATAACTCTTTCACATCTCTTGACTGTTGGGCAGTCTTCTTCCAGGAATCCCTGAATAGTTTGACCATGTCCTTGAAGAGAAGTAGCTTATAAAGCCAAGGGCTAACCTGTCCAGTGAATGTTGAGCAGAGCTTGAATTTCCACAATTAGTGGCTTGTCAGGTGACTGTTGAGTTCTGTTCTTAGTTTTCTTCTTTAAACGAAGGTATCCACTTTTAAAAAAAAAAAAAAAAAAAAATGTTAAAGTAAATAATCCAATCTTCAAAAGGTATACAGGGTGTTCAAATCAGGCCATATTTGCCTGAATGATACCACTGTTTAGAAGATATACCATCTTTACACATGATCTTTGTTCTTTCCTGGGCAGTGTACTATTGAAAGGCAGTGTCAGTAAGTCAAACCCAAACACTGGGAAAGTTTTGCCTTTTAACAGCAATGATGTGAAAAGTGCTTTTTAAGAAGTGATGCCACGGCTTTTCTGAAATATTGGTCTTCTGTTTTAGTGCGTAAATTCACAGACAAACATGAATGGATAACAACAGAAAATGGTATTGGAACAGTGGGAATCAGCAATTTTGCACAGGTATTGGATTGTCTTGAAATATTTGTGACAGTCTTTGCTCTTGCATAATTTGGATCATTTCTACCTTTTAAAAATGGTTTATTCTGCCCATAGTACTTTGGGCCCTTTAAAGGTCCTTAGAAGAAAATCAGTCAGAGATGAAACAAGGAAAACATAATTTAGTTAAGGTAGTTTGTGGTATTTTAAGAAAGACCGAAACGTTAGCACTTAAAATTAAAAGTAGGAAACATACCGTACTCAAGAAGGAAATATATTTGTTATATATCGGGCAGTTAAGGAAAGAAGAAAAAAAAGAAGAGCAAGCAAAAGGGCTGGAGGGTTGCTAGTACTTTGTGGTTGCAGTGATACACACATGATCACAGGGACATGAAGAAGAGGGAAAACCTAAATAGGCACAGATTACACAAAGGGAAATCTTTTATTTAGGCTATCTTTAATCTATAAATTCCCCTATCTCCACTATCCCATATTGAGATATAGTTTAAAAGAAAATGAGAAGCCAAATAGTAGCATAGGTCAGTGATTTTCAACTGGTTGTATGTGTTGAGTAAGGCAGGAGGGGAAAAGGGGATGATAACTGATGGGAATAGATAAAATTCCTCAGAAATGTTGGATTCTTGGGTATTGAGAATCACTGACAGTTATATCTTCATTGGCATGTATGTGTACCTACTGCGAGGGCTGGCACAGGATGTTTTGTAAAACATTGTGTAAGATGTTGTCCTTACCTCTTAGGGTTTATCTATGAAAGGAATCACATACATGGAAACAACATACAAAACATTACATGATAGATATCACCTGAATAGTGTAAGGGGTTGTAATTCACTCACCTGTTGGAGAGACTATTTCTTCCTGGAGTCAGAGTCTTCAGGGGGAGTACAAGGCGTGAGGTCTACTATTTGTAGAATCAATGAGTAGGATTTCAGCAAACGTAGTAGGGGTAGTACCGTAAGGAAAACTGCAGAGGTGGAAAAGTACAATGTGTTTGTGCTCAGAAGAGATAGAAGTCTTGTTTGGGACATATGGTTTGTGACTAGGGTCACTACAGCCTATGGGGCAAATCTGGCCAGTGGTCTGTTTCTTGCAGCTCCTAAATTAAAAATAGTTTTTACTTTTTTTTTTTGGTGGCTGGCCTGTACAGGGATCTGAACCCTTAACCTTGATGTTATCGGTACCACACTGTAACTTTTTGAGCTATGAGTTAGCTAACCAGCCAGCCCTGATTTTTAAAGGGTTGTAAGTAAGACCAAAGAATGTGGTCCTCAACTGTAAAATGTGTACTATCTCAATTACAGGGGATTTAGTGTTTAGCTTGTTCCTGTTTACTGGGGGGTTTAATTTGACTTTGAGTTTTTTCGTTGTTGTTTTAGGAAGCTTTGGGAGATGTTGTTTACTGTAGTCTGCCTGAAATTGGGACAAAATTGAACAAAAATGGTGAGTATTTTCTCATCTTGGAATGTCATGATTCATGCCATGAATTTTCTTTACCTGATTATTACCTCGAATAATAACTTGTTTGCACCCAGGAACAATTAGAGTGCTTTTGACTCAAGTAACAAAATACGCAAAAGTAGTTTAGCAATAGGAGTTTATTATTATCTCATACAAGCAGTTCGGAGATAGGTGGATATAGGGTTGGTTCAGGGGATGGGCGAAAGTCATCAAAGATACACCTTTTTGTGCTTTTTCTGTATGTCAGAGGTCACAAGATGGCAGCAGAATTTTCAGTCATCACATTCTCAAATGACAATATCCAAAAGTAGAAAGGGAGGGGCAGGCTCTCTCTTGTCTCCATCGAGAAGGAATATCTCCACCAGAAATCTTGGCAGACGTTTCCTTACATTAGCCAGGTCTGGGTTGTCCTGCCACCCCATCTGTTGGATACCACAGAAACTAATAGCTCAATGGAATTTACAGTTTCAGTATTAGATTTCACCATATTACTTTGGACAATATATCTTTGAAGCAAGTACTGCATGAAAATCAAAGTGGAACATCACATAAGGTCATGGTTGGTGTTCAGTCTGATTCCCTGATGTGTCAAGAAATTGTGCAGTATGCAATAGGCAGATATATATCAGTAAATAATTGTTTAAGAATGAAAAATATTTTTCTTTCCATTTGCATGTATTAAAATTTCAAACAGATATTCAATTATTAGGATGTAAAAACTTGCTAAGCAGTTTGGACCTAATCTCTTAATAAATTGAACCTGTTAGTTTTTTTTTTTTTTTTCTTTTTTTTTCTTTTTTCGTGACCGGCAACAGATCGCAACCCTCAGTGTCGCGCCTGTACCGGACCGGCAAGGGATCGCAACCCTCGGTGCTGCGCCCACACCTTGCTCAGCCAGTGAGCGGCCGGTCTGTATGTGGGATCCGAACCCTCAGCGGGAGCGCCGTCGCACTCCTAAGCGGCACACTGTAGCAGTGTGCCACCGGGCCAGCCCGAACCTGTTAGTTTTTAAAATTATTTATTTTTTGGTCTAGGAATCATTGTAGAAAAAGTACTGAGATACTAAGGGCACTGTGAAATTGAGAATGTTTGAGAAACTCTGGCCTGTAGGCCAGTGTCTTAGTCTGTTTGGGCGGCTGTAACAAATATCATAAACCGGGTGACTTACAAACAAAAAACATTTCTGACAGTTCTGGAGGCTGGGAAGTCCAAAATCAAGGTGCTAGTAGATTTGTTATCTGGTGAGGGGGCTCGTTCCTCATAGCAGGCACCTTCTCTGGGGCCTCTTTTTAAAATTGTGTGTGTGTGTGTGTGTGTGTGTGTGTGCGCGCGCGTGCGTGCGCGCATGGCAGCTGGCTTTATGGGGATCTGAACCATCGACCTTGATATTATCAGCACCATGCTCTACTGAGTGAGGTAACTTGCCCATCCCATTCATGAGAGCTTTGCCCTAATGACCTAATCATCTCCCAAAAGCCTCCATCTCCTAATACCATCATCTTGGGGGTTAGGATTTCAACATATGAATTTTGGAGGGCACAAACATTGACACCACAGCACCACATTTACAAAGATATTCTCCTGTTTTCTTTTTGGAACTTCACAGTTTTAGCCTTCATGTTCAGGCCTATCAAGTTTTCTGTGTGGTGTGAAGGAAGAGTTGTACTTCATTTCTCCCCTATATGTTTACTTATGTGTTCTAGCACCATTTGTTGAAAGAAAGTTTACTTTCACTACTGGATTGGTTGCTGCCTTTATCAAAAATTCAACTGACAATAAATGTGTGGGTCTGTTTCTCTACTCTCTACTCTTTTCCATTGGTCTATTTGTCTATCTTTATAACATACCAAATCTTGATTATTTCAACTTTATAAATTTAATTTGCTGCTCTTTTTCTAGTTTCTTAAGGTGTAAACTTGGGGTTTTGTTTGTTTGCTGTCTCCCTTGTGGTAGGTGGCAGCTAAAATCTTAGTTCAATTCTTTTAGCCTTAGCTGGGACACTGGCGTTTGCCCTGTGTGTGCATGGTTCGGGGATCATTCAGAGACCTGAGCAGAGTTTATACACAGAATTTAGGGCTCTCCCTTTTAGTCTTTATCCTGCCTGAGTTTTCCCACCTCACTTTCTAATAGTTGTGGTGGTCTCAAACTCTTGTCTTCTGGTCTTTCGAGACTCAGATTTTCTTTCAGAATTTTGGCTGCCCTGCATGGCACAGACTGGTGCTTTTCCTCTGGCAAAAAGCCATTACCTAAAAAACAATCCAAATTCACCAGTATTATTCCTTCTTTCAAGTGTTGCCTCTTTTCCAGAAACAGCCTGTTTTTGTTCATTTTCCAGTGTTTTTAGAACCCCAGTCATTGACTTAAAAACACTTTTTAAAATGAAACCTAAATACATAAATTTCTAAGCAATATTTTAGACATATCCCACACGTTTTGATATGTTGTATTCCTAATCATTCATTTCAAAGTATCTTCCAATTTCCCTTGTGATTTCTTCTTTGACCCATGAGTTATTTAGAAGTATGTTATTTTGTTTTCAAGTATTTGGGGCTTTTCTAGATAGCTCATTGTTAGTGATTTTTAACTTAATTTGTTTTAATAAAGGAACATATTCTGCAAGATATTAGTTTTTTAAATTGTAACTCATATTATGGTCCAGCATATGGTCTGGTTTAGTGAATGTTCCATGTGGTAATGGCTTTTTGAGAAGATTGTATATTCTTCATTTGTTGGGTATTTTCCTAATCAGTTTGGGCTGCTATAATAAAGTGCCATAGACTGGGCAGCTTATGAACAATAGGACTGTTTCTCACAGTTCTGGAGGCTGAAAGTCTGAGATCAGGGTGCCAGCATGGTCAGGTTCTGGCTCTCTTCTGGGTTGCAGACTGCTGTCTGCATGGCAGAAAGAGGAGAGAGAGCTCTCTGGAGCCCTTTTGTAAGGTCACTAATCCCATTCATGAGGGCTTCACCCTTATGACCTAATCACCTCCCAAAGGTGACCATCACAATTACCATCACATCAGGGGTTAGGATTTCAACATATGAATTTTGAGGGGACACAAGCATCAGTCCATAACAGGTATAGAGTTCTATAAATCTTAGTAGGTTAAGTTGGTTGAGGTTTTTATATATATATAAATATATATATATATATATATATTTTTTTTTTTAAAATTTTTTTGTGTGTGGCTGGCCAGTGGGGGGATCTGAACCCTTGACCTTGGTGTTATAACACTGCACTCTAACCAACCTTATTGATTTTTTGAGAGGGAGTATTAAACTCTCTTGACTGTGATTATAGATTTGTTTGATTTTCCCTTTAGTGTATTTTTGTGTTGTATATTTCGAAGCTCTTTAATTAGGTTTTAAGATTCTTAGTCTTGATGAGTTGATCCTTTTATTGTTACAAAATGTCCCTTTTTATCTCTGGCAATTCTCCTTGTTTTGAAGTCTACTTTCTCTGGTATTACTTTTGTCGTACCAGCTTTCTTACTGTTTATGTGGTATATCTCTTTCCATCATTTTACTTTTGACTTAGCTGTGTCTTTAAGTGTGTTTCTTAAAGACAGGTGTTTTCCTTTTAATTAGAATGTTTAGTCCATTTACCTTTAGTATAGTATTAATATACTTGAGTTTAGGTCTAGACTCTTGCTTTTTTGGTTTTCACATTGTCCTGTTTGTTATTCCTCTGCTCTTCCATAAACAAATTTTAGCCTTAGCTGGGACACTGGCGTTTGATTTTATTTCCTCCATTGGTTTTTTAAACTAATACCTCTTTGTACTATTTAACAGTTCTCACAATATGCTACCTTAATTTATCACAGTTTATTTAGAGTTAATATATCACTTCATATAACACATAAGAAACTTTGGACAGTATGATTTCATTTTCCATTGTGCTGTTCTTTCCCAGTTTTTTTTTTTTTTTTTTTTTTTTACATCAACAGATATAGTTAACTCTACAACATGGTATAATAACTTTGCTTTAAACAGTAAAGTGCCTTCTATAGAAAGCAAGAAAAAAAAGAAATATTTTATATTTACTCATTTACCATTAAACCACAAAAAAGCCTTTTCATTTCTTTTTTTTTTTTTTTTTTTTTTTT